ACACACACAGAGGAAAGTCCGGGTGAAGATAAAGAGAAGGTAGCCGTGTACAAGCCAAGAAGAGAGGCCTCAGAAGAAATCAGCTCTGCCAGTACTTGATCTGGAGCTTCTAGCCTTCACAATTAGGCAACTAAATTCCTATTGGCTTCTTGTTTGGCTTTTGGCTTTTTTGAGACAGTCTCCCTGTGTAGCTCACAATGGCCTTGAACTGTAGCCCAGGCTGCCCTCAAATTCACAGCAATCCTTCCGTAGTGCCCTGAGTGCTAGAATTACAAGAGTGGGCCACCATACCCAGCCAGGGTTTCTAGTGTTGAAGACTCCTGCTCTATAGTACTTTGTTTATGGCAACAAATTTCATGCCGGCACAAATATCAGTAGCTCATTACAGTGGTCCCTCACTTACTGCAGAGGTTACCCTCCAGACATGCCTGTGATAAGTGGAAATCAGTGAATTAGTGACACTATATTTATTTTAGTATTTATATATATTTTAAGCCTTTATAAATCCTCCCCATACTCTCACAAACCTCTCCCACACTTTTACAAACACTTCTGTTTTTAACCATTTTCTAAACTAGCAAACCTAAGTAATTTTAACATCATACGTATACTGTACAGTACTGCAAAATCCTGCAATATAGTGAAAAATCTGTGATAAATAATTTAGATTAATATTTTTTCAAAACCTACAAAACAGTGAGTGCGCAAAAGTCAAACAGCAAGATATTGAGGGACTACTGTACTTTTTATTGATGAGTAGTATTGCATTATGAATGTAGCATATTTTATTTACTTATTCACCAGATGATGGACATTTGGATTGTTTCCAATTTGGGTACTAACACTGCTGCTGCAAAATTTCCATCAAGTCTTTGTGTAAGCACCTTCTTAGTAAAACAAGGCAATGAAGAATCAGTTTGGTAAAAAAAAACTGCCCAGAGACCTCCGTTCTTTTTTTTATTTTTATTTTTATTTTTTTGAGACCTCCGTTCTAATTCTGGCTTTATTACCTTGAGGAAGCCAACTAATCTCTCTGGACTTCAGATTCCTTATCTGTAAAATGGGGACAATAATCAGGCATTCTGAGCTTGAAGCACTTCTAGAATAGAGTGCTAATTATTAAACAACACTTTTTTTTTTTTTTTTTTTTTGTATTTTAGGGAAGGGTCTACAGGGTATTCAGGGCCTCACTACTAGACTGGACTCATAGTGATCCGCCTGTTTACAGCTTCCCAAGAGCTGGGATTACAGGCGTGTGCCACCACACCCAGTCTCAATTGCCGGCTCACCACGCCCCGGGGGCAGGGCCAGCACAGCAGGCCCAGGGATCGAACCCCCAGACCCTGCTCCTGTTGGCAGGCACTTTAATCCCTAAACAACACTTCTAATCTGGACTATGCTTTACAAAAGTTTACAAAACTTACTTACAGTCATTATTTCATTTGATAAACTTTGTGAGATAAACAGATTATAGCACAACAGCTATGAAAGATTGTTAGAATGGCTACAAATGATTCCTTTCTTGTACCTACATCTCCTTCCTCCTTCCTTCCTTCCTTCCTTCCTTCCTTCCTTCCTTCCTTCCTTCCTTCCTTC